TCCTAACACAATGGAGTCTGGGGAACTTTGTTAGGGGCTGAAGTGTAGTAAGGAGGCGAGCAGGCCTGTTTTTCGTACCACTCGGCTCCCACACGGCTAGCTTTACACCCAAAATAACAACACACAAATCATTTAAACACTGCCTGGCCCGTTAGTTCTAGCCTCTTCTTAGCTAATTCTCACATCTTGATTAACCCATTTCTATTAATCTGTGTAGCACCACGAGGTGATGGCTTACTGGGAAAGATACAGCATGTCTGACCCGGTGGCTGGCTCCATGGCGTCTGACCCAGAGAGTAGAGGCATGGCGATTGCCTCACTTCCCTCTTCCTCCCAACATTCTGTTCTGTCTACTCCACCCACCTAAGGGCTGGCCTATCAAATGGCCAAGGCAATTTCTTTATTAACTAATGAAATCAACACAAAACAGAAGACCCTCCCACATCACTGAAGGATTCTAGAAATCACAGGGCAACTCGAGCCCTGTGCTGATATGCCTCTCCCGCCATCCACACAGGTGGCCACCAACACAGACACCAGCCGAAATGCAGGCAATGCCGTCCTGTTGGAGACAGTGCTGACCATCATGGACATCCACTCTGCAGCGGGCCTCCGGGTACCGTTATATCCCCATGTGTTCTCCAGCTGTGGCTCCACCTGCCCAGCTGGTCCTGGTCACTGGCTTCTCCCCAGCGCCCATCATGGAGGAGATCCCACTGAACAAGTGACTTCTTCTCTGACTGCCTCCATCTTCTTCTTCCCATAGGTTCTAGCTGTTAACATTCTTGGCCGTTTCTTGCTCAACAATGACAAGAATATTAGGTAACAACCCCCGGTGTCTGGCTAGACTGTCGCACTGCACATCTGGCCTTCTGCATTCCTCCATCTTGGCCCACCTAACTCTTACCTGTACCTGAGCAGCACAGGGTGTCCAGGCAGATGACCTCATATGGCATGGTCTCTCTTACTCTGACCAGGTATGTGGCACTAACGTCGTTGCTTCGACTGGTGCAGTCCGATCACAGTGCTGTACAGCGTCATCGGTCCACCGTGGTAGAATGTCTCCAGGAAACAGATGCCTCCCTCAGCAGGTAAGCAGAGGGAGAAGGGGACAGAGCAGAGGACACACAAGGTGCCTGAGGTCAGTGGAGCTGGAGTGGGGTAACCTGGGCCATCTGCCTGGACGCCTCTCTCCTGCCAGGCGGGCCCTGGAGCTGAGCCTGGCCCTGGTGAACAGCTCCAACGTGCGAGCCATGATGCGGGATCTGCAGGCCTTCCTGGAATCCTGCCCCCCTGATCTTCGGGCTGATTGTGCTTCCGGCATCCTATTGGCTGCGGAGAGGTGAGATGACAAGTGCCTAGGAGTCTGAGGGTGCGGCCTGGGGAGGGATGCTGATGAGTCATGTCCCCCTAGGTTTGCTCCAAGCAAGCGGTGGCACATAGACACCATCCTGCACGTGCTGACCACGGTGAGACAGAGTAGTCGGGGAGTTGGGGAGGAGCGGGCAGAGCTCACTGCTCTGACTTGGCCACATCTCTCCGTATCCAGGCAGGCACCTATGTGAGAGATGACGCGGTGGCCAACCTGACCCAGCTGATTGGGGAGGCCCAGGAGCTTCACGCCTACTCTGTGCGCCGCCTCTACAGTGCCTTAGCAGAAGACATCTCCCAGGTCTCACTCTCCTTCCCCAGCTCCGGCTCACCAACCTTTCCAGCACTAGGATTTGAGTAGTTTTCCTCCTAGCATAGCAGCCAGAAGCTGGTCGAGGACAAAGCCCACCTCTTGCTTAGGCTTCTCTCCTGGCCCTGGTGCCTACCGACTGCAACTGCAGATACAACTTTTCTTCCTTAACGTTCTAGAATGCTGGCCTCCCAGGCAGTCTTCAGGAGCAAATGAGATGTATTAAAGCTTGGTGCATACATTCATTTCTGTTATTACCTTCAGTGCTGAGTGGATTAACAGGTGCCAGCTGATATCTATAACTCCCCTCTGTCAACTTTAATAGAGTGAGCAGAAAGCTTCCCAGTTTTCTTACGAAAGAGCCTCTCAGGGCTCCATCATGTGACCAGGCCCTATAGTTTCAGTGCTTGCCCACCAGAGGGCAGTAGGAACCAAAATGCCAAGACAGCCTGCTAACAAGCTTAACCCTTCCCTGTCAACCCCATGATCTGCTGTAAAAGAACTCTGTAGGGTCTAGAAGAGAGGAGGCCCCCAGCTAGCTCAGCCGTGTCTCTTTCCCCACACAGCAACCACTGGCTCAGGTGGCAGCCTGGTGCATCGGCGAGTATGGGGACCTCCTACTGGAGGGTAACTGTGAGGAAACCGAGCCTTTGCAGGTGAGAGCTGAGGAGTGGGAGGTACACTGGAGAGGACTCGTCAAGACAGACATGGCCTGTGGGCATGAACTGTTGCCCACTCCTGAAGGTGGAAGAGGAAGAGGTGCTGGCACTGCTGGAGAAAGTGCTGCAGTCCCATCTGTCCCTGCCCGCCACCCGAGCCTATGCTCTCACAGCCCTCATGAAGCTCAGCACCCGGCTCCCGGGAGGTAACAAGTAAGAAGGAAGTCCCAGGCCTTGAAAGATGTCCCTTCATTGTGGCTCCTAGTCTTTGAACTCTCCAGGAACACGCCCCTCTCTCTGGCCCCCTAGTCCTTAGGAATCTGCTCTTGAGCCATGTATATTAGATGTCTCCTTACTCTATGAGGCTTCCGCTTTCCCTCTCGTCCTGGAGGGGAAGAGCAAGCCGACTGCCATTGCTTCTCACAGGCCACGTTGTGGCCCAGTCGTATCCGCCAGGTGGTCTCCATCTATGGGAGCTGTGTGGACATAGAGCTTCAGCAGCGGGCTGTGGAGTATAACATGCTCTTCCAGAAATATGACCACATGAGGTACGTGAGCTTCAAACTCCGTGTTCCCCAAGTGCTCCCTTCTAGATAGCCTTGCTCTCTGTGGTGAGCATCTCCCATCCATAGCTGACATTGGTCTGGTTCCCAGTCCTCATCTGCTGTCTAGAGACCAGCAACAGTGCACTGTCTTAGGAAACCAGAATGGCACTTGCGACCCTACATGTGACCCTGCATGTGACCCTGAATGTGACCCTGCATGCGACCCTGCATGCAACCCTACATGCAACCCCGCATGCCCAGGGCCCTCTTCTGTTCCTAAATGCTTCTGTGCAAGCGTAGGGCTCACACAGAGGGACCCTTGCATCCCATCCCCTCAGGGCTGCCATCCTGGAAAAGATGCCTCTCGTGGAGCGCAGTGACCCTCACGTTGATGAAGAAGGAAAGGAAAACAAAGCCGGGGCCCAGCTCTTAGAAGCGTCAGCCCCTGTCCCCACAGAGCCCCAGGTGAGGAGGCTGGTAGACCTGAGTAAAAAGGACTTCTGGGGGTGTCCACGCCCTGCCATGACCCCCCCTGCCCTTTTTCCCAGGCCACTAAGCTCTTGGATCTGCTCGATCTCCTGGATGACACTCCTGAGCATGCTCAGCACCTTCCTCCTCTCGATCCTTCTCCCGGGGAGACCTTGGTCCACCTCCTGGACCTTCCCTGTGCACCTCCAGCCCCTGGTAAGCCTCAGCAAAGGGAGTAGCTGGAAATGTGTCACTCTCTGTCTGAGCCAAGGACAGAGACACCATCTTAGTAGGCAAAGGTTTTCATCCCATGCCAGTTCTGTCTTGGTTCTCTAGAACAACCTTCTTTGTCGTAGTTCTTACCCCAGGCTGCAGGCCTATTTCCGCTCCAGGCTGTATCATATCCCACTACCCACTCCACTGGCCCCTTCAACCCTCAAATTCTTCCACCTCAAACACTTAACATTTTATGTTCTTTCCCCAGTACCTCAAATGACTAACTCATGCTCACTCTTCAGGCTTCAGCTAAAGGTCAACCGCCTCATCCTCTCTCCCCTGCTTAACTTAGTTCTCCCCAGTTACTTTTGACTTCTTGTCTCTAGCATCATGGCGATGATTATCTTGCATTTTGTTGTCGTGTTGTGGCCCTGTCCCCGCACTAGACGGTCAGCTCTTACCTCAGCTTGTCTGGCTTCTCATTTGAAAGGGGGCAGTGCAGAGCCGAGATTTGCTTGCTCCATTTTGATCGGGTGAGTGGATAGCTGTGCTATGTTAAGCCTGAGCACTGAGCTGCCTCTCTCCCTTCTCCAGCTCCCATCCCTAGTCTCCAAGTGTTCGAGCGTGAAGGCGTCCGACTGGACCTGACCTTCGTGCGGCCTCTGGAAACCCCAGCCTTGCTCTTAGTCACTGCCACCACCACCAACTCCTCAAGGGAGGACGTTACCCACTTTGTTTGCCAGGCAGCTGTGCCCAAGGTTTGGAAAAATAGGGTTCAGCCATGTGTGGTAGCTCATGCCTGTAATTCTAGAGCTTGGGAAGTTGAGGCAGGGGAATCACTGTTTGAGGCCAAGTTGGGCTACTTTGTCAAAAAGAAAGAAGAAAAAATTAGGTTTCAGAGGTGGTACAGGCACTCTTGGAGAAAAGACCAGAGAGTGTAGAGGTGGGTGGGAGGCCGAGTGAAGCAGAAAGGGGTGATGTGGACAGTTTGGGAGCCACGAAGCGTGGAAGACTGCCCGAGCCCAGCCAGAGGTCTTACTACGCTCTGCCCAAACCTCCCATTTTCAGAGTTTCCAGCTGCAGCTACAGGCCCCCAGTGGGGACACAATTCCAGCTCAGGGTGGCCTTCCTATCACCCAGCTCTTCAGAATCCTCAATCCTAACAAGGTGAGTTGTCGGACCCTGTGGACAGGAGACATGGGGACAATCAGGGCCCCAACCCTCCCTGGTCTCTGTTTTGTTTGTAGGCAATGCTGCGACTAAAGCTACGCCTCACCTACAACCACTTTGGCCAGCCGGTACAGGAGATCTTTGAGGTGGATAACTTGCCCGTGGAGACGTGGCAGTAACTTGCTGTGGTCTGTGTCTGACCTGGGTGTTGCCAGGCTCTTGGTATCTTATTCAAGGAATGGAAATAAAGGCACTCATAAATTGCAAATAGCAAGGAAGCTTTATTCAAAAGCGGTGGCGGTACAAATCATAAATACATTGCGAAGAGCAACGGCCACAGAACTCGAGGGTCCAGGGTTATTGCCTGGTGCTTCTTTAATGGGGTCTTAGGGGAAGGAGTTCATTGCTAAGTGGCATAATTTGAGTGGTTCTCTATTTTGATTGACAGGCTTGGATTCTGTAAGCTTTTCCTCACTGTGCATGACCCTTCCCATGATGCATCTGGTTTTTTAATCATATCCTCGTTCTTCATAAGGCACAGGATGATAAATAGGGGATTCTTCTTCAAAGTTCACCCAAAGGACACAGTCTTCCTTACTCTGCTTGCGCTCAAAACCCAGCTAGGCCCAATCAGCTCCCTGCTTTCTGTACGCGGATATGTTCTGAAATATTTGAATGAAAACTGTCCGCGAAGGGGAGTTTTTGATGGCTGCTGGGGGAGGAGAGACTTATTCCATTGTTCCAAGTGGACACACATGCCACTCCGTAGAGTGCAGAGGGGGCCCTAGGTGCACCTGCGCCATAAGAAGGCTGTGGGGACTTAGTCACGATCCTAGGGTGCCAAGTGCATCCACTGTTAGAGGTGTGCGCGGCTTAAGCCAAGTGGAGTTCTAGATTGTTAAAACGTTGCCTCCTAACTGCCTCAGCTCACCTGAAATCCGTCTGCACCCTCCGCTGGGAACAAAAGCCCTGAGGGCTAACAGCAGGTGGCACTCTGGCCCTGTGTTTGCCTCTACAGTCTGAGAGACTGACAGCCTATGAAAGCTGAGCAGGGCAGAAAGGCATGTTTTGACCTAGTGAGAAAGAAAATGTGTAGGAGCGAGGGTAGAGCCTTCTCCACAGGATGTATGACTTCCTGAGACCCCAGGAACCTGTCTTAACAATGATTTTCTTTCTCTCCGTCTCTGGGTTGGAGAGCAAATTTGTTTCTAAACTGCCACCTAGGGCACTCTACCCTCTGGGCACAGTGGCAGACCCAGCAGAGTTCCAGATCTCTAACAGAAGTTCCCAGCCGGTTCCTGGCCTTGTTGCTATTCCCTACCCCCCAAGGCAGGGGAATCCCTGCTGCTTCCCGCATCTCTAACTCAGCTGTAAGGCAGCTTCAGAGCTGCTGGCAGAATCAATGGCATCGACCACGGGAGGGGGGGGTGGCAAGGGATTTTCCTGTGCTTAACTACTGATCACAGCTAAGTGGAAATCCTATAAACACGAGCGGAAATCAATGGAGGCTGCTTAGCGGCCAGGGGAGAGGGGCGGCCCACAGATTGCATCTGACGGATGAGAGAGGCAGTGAGGGAGGGCTCAAAAGAAGGGCAGCTGAGGATGGGTGAAAGACCAGGCGGAACCGGAGACAAAAGTGGCCCTGTTGGAAGGGAAGGGCACGGTGGGTCCAGGTGTGGATGACAGCTTCGGAGAGTTCCCTTCCCTTATAGAGAGTGAGCCCTGCTCCCAGAAACGGTCAGGATGTCGAGTCCCCTGTGGCTTCACTGCAACTGTTTGCCTCGAGCAGGTGCTGATAGTCCAGAGGCCTGAAGCGCTGTAGGTATACCATGAGCTTGGCAGGTGCCGTTTCCTGTGCTGGCACTCCTGCAGGGAAGGGGACAGCAAGGGAAGAGACAGATGCAACCACTAAACACGCTTTCGCTTTGCTCCCTGCCCACCCAGCCAGGACTCCAAAATTTGCAACACAGTACTAAGAACCCAGATGCCACCCAAGCAGCCTCTCTATGTCACCCACTCCACAGGTGGACTGCAGAGGGGTGAGCCCGAAGATTTATGCGGTTGTGTGGCTGGAAAGCCAAGTCTGAGCCTTGAGAAATGATGGGGAGGCACCCTGAGCCACCAAGACAGGGGAGCCAAGCCATTTCACATACCACCTCTCTCCCAATCAAGAGTCCCATTTAGGCAAGCCCAAGCTCGCTTGCTTGGTGATGAAGCGCATACAGGGAAGTACAGAAGAGAACCAAACACTGGGGAAAATGGAGAACAGGAACTGCGCAGCGGCGTTCACAGCATCTCCTGTCTAACCACCGGCTGCCAATGTTGAGAATGGGCATCGGCATGCTGACCCACAGCGGGAAACTAATGCCATGTGTGGTTTCTAAGAGGTTCAGCCCCCTAGAGTTGTCCGGACCTGTGGGGTGCACAACCCCGAAATGCGGGGCCCAGCTGTCTGTGTCAGAGCTAAGCATGGAAACAGAAAAATCTGCCAAGTACCCCCCACCCAGCCCCACACAAATATAATGTTCTTGTCTTTATTCCAAGCCAAAAGCACAGTCCAGAGGATGTGGCTACCTCCACGTGCAATCCCAGCACTGGGGTGGATCACAAGTTTTGTTTTGTTTTTTTTTTGTTTTGTTTTGTTTTTGGTTTTTCGAGGCAGGGTTTCTCTGTGGCTTTGGAGCCGGTCCTGGAACTAGCTCTGTAGACCAGGCTGGTCTCGAACTCACAGAGATCCGCCTGCCTCTGCCTCCCGAGTGCTGGGATTAAAGGCGTGCGCCACCACCGCCCGGCTGGATCACAAGTTTAAGGCCTTACGTGGGCTACACTGAGGACTGAAGAAAAAGCCAAGGGGATAATGAGCACGTAGGAAGTTCAAAGAGAAAACGGAAGTTTATGAGAAGGCCTGATCCACAGAACTAGAGGAATTAAATGAGGTGATAACGAGGATAAAGACTGGAGACAAGAATTAAATCCAAATTAGCTACTATAGAATAGAAAGCCATTTTACAGATGTGAAAACAAACTGGACCTTTGAGAAAGTCACCACAAAAAATTTCCCTTATAAAAATGATACTCTATGGCTCGGCGGCAGGGGCGGGGTGGGGAGGGGTGGGGGGTGGGAGTGGTCTCCAGTGAGGTTAAATGAGAAGCAAGGGCGGCCTCAGAGAGCCCGTCTCCCTCACCAAGCAGGGTGCTGAAGCTGGAGATCTTCTCTAGGGCAGCTGGTACTTCTCCCTTCTCCCGTACCATGACCTCTACCTCACCCACAGCATAGCCGAAGTCTGTTGAGTCCAAGTCCACTCTGAGCTTCGGCTCCTCTTCACTGGCTCCAGACAAGGCCAGCATCCAGGAACTTCGCGTAGTCACGAAACTAGCTACTTCCTGCAGCTTCAGGGAACCCAAGACAGCAGCCACACCGGCAGTCCCAAGCTCCTCAGCCCCAAGCAGTTGAAACAGCTGGGCCACAATGGCCGATTCCGATGTGAGCTCGACATACTCGTTGTGGGATCCTGAGATACCTGATACTCCAGGGCATTTGAGCTCCCATCCACTACCTTCTCGTTGTCGCAGCCAGTGATCAGACCGCATAAGGCTCAGCTCAGAAGTATCATAGTAGGTGTCTTGGAAGGTGACCCGGTGCTCCAGGGTGCCCCCCAACTCCTGCAGCCTTTCTTCCGTGTCAGGCCCTGGAGTAAACTTTCGCTCCACTTCAATCAAGCCTTGGGCCATGTTACCTGCAACACAGGTTGGCAAAGAATTCACTGCGTGCTCAACGGTACGATTAGTCAGCAGAGACCGCCCCCCACCCTTTAGTCCTGGATGAATTTAAGAGGCACGCACATACACTGTCTCAGAGCTCTGCCTGAGGGACACAGAGTTCTACTTCGAGATTTCAGCGTGCTGCAATGATAACAGGTCTCCAGTTAAATCCTAGTGCTGATAATGTCTTCAACCCAAAGGCTCGCTAGAAAGCAGGCCCTGATGCTGATGACCTTTCCACATCTCTCTACACCTTGCCACTCAGGCCAGTGGTTCAGTGCTCGGAGTGTCCTGTCATTCTTCGCACAGCACCGACCAGCTGAACCTCAGAACACTCTTCAAGACCCCAGGGTCTCCCTCTCCTGGGACCCGGAAATGGGAGAAGGGAACCCACGCTACACCCGCGAGGAATGCCGGGAGCAGTCTCCGGCTCCGGACCTTGGCCCTGGCTCTTTACGCGCGGGTCCGGACCTAGCACCAGCGGCCATATTAGACCGGTGTAGCGGTGCCGATGACAAGCTAAGCCCGAGAGGTCTGTTAGGTTACGTGCGACCCAACCCGGTAGGCAAGAGGAGCGAGACCATCCTCTCGCCCGCTGCTCATCCTGGATCCTTCCTGGAGCCGGGGCATGGGCCAAGATCTCGAGCCTCAGCGTGAGCCTGGCATCCTGGGCCTGATGCATGATGGGAGATGTAGTTCCAATGGGCCACCTCACCTTTCATGCCCACCCGTCGCTATGGTGATAAGAAACATGCAATTAGCGTTAACCAGCGGGGCTCTACCTGAAGCTTAACAGGAGGAGATTGGGGGTTGGCTAACGTGAAGAGGAGAATGCAAAGAGCTTAGGCTCCAGACCCCAACCCCTCCCAAAGTAGACTGTGGGTGGGCCCCATGAGACACAGCCACTCAGGTATTGCAGTTTATGGCTGCCCACTAAGGGCGGGTCAGTGGTAAAGGTCTGGCGCGTGAGTGGAGTAATTCAGTTTAGCCACCTGGAATGTTTTTATGATTTTATTTTATTTTATTATTTTATTTGACACAAGGCTCTCATGTGGCCCAAACTAGCCTGGAACTCCTGATCCCCCTTAGAGCGAGTACTGGGTCATATGTGTGAGCCACACATCTGTAATGACAGCATCTGGGATGGCTGAGGCAAAAGGATCACAGCTTGAGGTGAGTCTGAGCTACAGACTGATTTCCAGGCCATGCTGGGCTAAGGGCAAGACCTTGTCTGGAAAAGACAAACACAAAAACAAAAATAAACACAGACATGGGAATTACTCTCTGTTTGCTCTCGGAACCTGAGACGGGTCCTTAACCTTACCCGGATCCTGTGGTGTATTTGTAGACCTTAACTTTGTCTCTGCCTCTGAGCGAAGACACTGCTACCTTCTCGACTTGCTTCTGTGATAAGTGTCAAGTGCGACACCTGCTTCCTTATGTCTCTATAACAACCGGGGAGGAATTACGGGAAGGTCCCTGGTTTATAAGCATGGCATTTTGAACATGGGATGGCGTTACACAAACTGCTACTTCTGGTCTACTGGGTTGATCTTATAGAATACAAAAGATATCAGTGCTTTCTGGGTCAACAAAACTGAAAAGTAAAGAACTGAGTGGGAAGGAAACACCCCCAAACCCCAACTCTTCTCATTAGCTTGAAGCTCATCTGTTGTTTACTGGACTCCTGCAAAACTCAAGGTCGACTCTGCTTCGCTTGGTAGACCATTGCCCTTGGACAAGCCACTCCACCTCCCCAAGTCTGCTTTTTCAGTGTTCTGCCTCACAATTAAAAGAAGATTGAAGATTCATTAACAAACTCAACTGTTACATGGCAGAAACTCAAGATAATGGTTTCTTTCCCACCCTCAATTTCGGGAGTTTCTGCAATTGTTGTCCTATCAGCTAGTTTAGGCTCTGGAGTCAGAAGACTGACGTTTGCATAATGGTACTATTGTTTTTTGGCCATGCATTCTTGAACTGGTAAGACTTGGTTTCCTCTACTATAAAATGAACTCCTGTATATTGTGTTTTAGAATCTTAGAAACTGATGAGCTGACAAGCTGAAGAGAAGGAACCAGAGCCTCCCCTCTCCCTACCCAATCGGGGGAGTGCAACTGAGTTGAGAAGACAGCCACCCTGGGAGATGTCAAAGTAATTGTTATGAAAGAGAAGGTTCTAGTAGTCAAAAAGGAAACGACACAGCTAGAAAGGGCTAGAAAGAGATGAAACAATGATGGATCTCCGACGGTTCTGGGCAGCTTACAGAAAACAGCTTGCTCTAACAGTGATTTAAAACAACACACTTATGGCTTGTGTAAGCAGGATAAAAGAGGAGGGGACGAGTGTTTAAAGGAACGTGCCCTTTCTGCAGGAATAGGGTAGACCCAGCACCTGAGTCAAGGCGGAAGTAGGGTGGCAAGGTTGTCCGGCCCCGCCCCTAAGATCCTGGCCCCTGCTCAGGTCTTTGCCTCCTGGGACTGGGGCTGACTTGGCGCTAGCCGTCTATAGAGGGCGGAGGCCTGTAGACTACAGCTCCCGGCATGCACTGCGGCGGGCGGGTCGCTGCACCTGCTCAGTGGGGCTGCCCTGGGCGCCTGGGTATTGATTATTCCATTGTGTGGGACGCCTCGGCTCCAGCCAGTGAAAGAGGCGGAGGAGTGAGGGCTAGAAGGAGGAGGGCGAGGAGGAGGAGGAGGAGACAGGGAGCAAGCCAGTGCCCAGGGTGAATCAATGGAAACCCACTCACGCAGCCGGGAAAACACTTCAGCCGCAGCCAAATAGCATTGATTATTTTCTTTCACTTCCCTCACCGCCGTGAATTTATTTATTTTTCCATCTCCGTCCCCGACGCCCCGGAGCGAGCGCTGAAGGGAGGGAGGAGGAGGGGCAAAAAGGAATCAACACATCGGAGAAGTCCCTTCCAAGAGCCGCCCCCTCCCCTCCCCGCCTCGCTTGGCGGCCGCGGTTCGACTCCCGTCCCTGCTTCCAGCTGAGGTGTAAGTGCATCGATTTCCGATGCTGCTGGGTTGGGTTTTTTTTTTTTCTTTTCCTTTTTTTTTCTTCCTCTGCCTCTCACTCTCCTTCCCTTCCATGCTCTTCCGAATCTCGAGATCGAGAAGAGAGGAGGCGCTGGGAGACTGCTACTGGAGGGGACGGAGAGGGACGGGAAGGGGCTGGGGGAGGGGACGCGGACGGACAGACAGCCGGGACGAAGAGGACAGGAGTGTGGGGGAGAAAGGGCATGCGAGCCGGATTGGGGAAGAGAGGTAGGGGTGGGGAAATAGAGAAGAGAAAGATATGGGCCAGCGGGACAGACAGAGGGTAGCGAGAGCCTAGACGTACCGCGCCGAGCTGTACCAGGAGCGGGGTTCCTGGAGGGTATGGGAGGTTGGGTGAGTGCAAGGGCTCTGAGCTATAGCCGGAAGGGGCCTGCGGCGCTGAGGAGCTCAGCTGGCTGCGGGATGGGGGAGAGAAACCCGGGCGGGAAGGCTGATGGATGGGCTAGCGCGCCGGGGTGCTGGGTGGAAGGGGGAGTGGATACCTTTAATGTTCATTTTTGCCTGAGGTAGGTGAGGGGAGCCCCATTCACAGTGAAGCGTGCCTGCCCTGTTTCTCCTGCTACCCCGACTTGCCATCCGCTCTCCTATACCCCTCATCATTTTTTGAGCTCTGGACCACGCTTCTCACTGTGCCTGCGTCCCCACTGATCTGTGGTTGTGCCATTTTTCACTTGGCTCCCCACCCCATCTAGATTCAGTTCCGTGTGTCCACTGTCTTGACTGTGACACTTCTCATCCGAGTGATTCTTACCACATACCCCTGTTCCCATGTGTCACGCCTAGACTGACTGACTGGTCGGCCTTCCACGGCTCTCCTTCAGGGTCTGTCTGCACAACGGTGGCCTTTCCAGCTACTTTGGAGTTTGCTTATCAGCCATGATTGTGGTAGTCTACGGTCGGGGTCCTGAAAAGTAGAGGATGGAGGGAATGTGTCTACCCCTGATGACTCCAGTGCCCTTTCAGCGTGGGCATGACAGCTTCCTGCTCGCCTTCAGCAGGGAAGCCTTGGAACTTCTGGCATTGTTGATCACCTCGTTTGCCATGTGCCTTTGGGTCTCCAGTGTGTCCTCTGCCTTTCCAGCACAAGCCTCCTCCTTGCTGACTTCATTTTCCTCCCTTCCCCCACTCTACCATTGTATATATATTTTTATCCCCCAGTTTACCTCACCCTGTTGTCATATCCTTTTATCTGATGAACTAACTCCCTTGCATAGTCTCCATCTTTGTTCCCTGTTCTCCTTAGTCTGCCAAAGTTGGGTTTTGTTTGGTTGTTTGTTTGTTGTTTTTTATCCCTTATCCTGTCACCCAGCGTTTTACCCCTAGCAGCAGCAGATGCCACGAGCAAAGGGCTGATTGAGAGATGGGGGTTATGTTTTGTGAAGGAACATAAAAAGGCCAAGAAATCAATTTAATGGGCTTCCAGGGGCGTGTAACTCCTTCATCAATCAGTTCCATTATGTCAGCTAACTGTCAACTTTAATTTTGTAAGGGGATGTTCTCTAGCTCCACCCCACCTGACTGCCCCCGTCCTTCAGTTCCTTCTAGATATCAGTGGCCTTTTCCTCACTTTTTAGTTCATTTTCCTCATGGGAACCTGCTATTATTCTCTTTGGACTTAGCAACATTCTTTATGAGACAGGTTTGATTATTCTCAGAAAACCTACCTTATGCAAGGGCCGTGTTCATTCAGTCTAAAGGGTGGTAAACGTGGATAGGGGACTTGGAGAGTTTATCATGGGTTTCAACCCATCATTATTTTTCCAGACTCCAGCAGCTTAAAAGGATAAAAAGATGAGGTAGACATGGGCAGCTGATGGACGCGGGAGAACACATGGGTTAAAGAAATGCATGGCCAGAGGAAATGGGGAAATCTCTACGGGATGAGGAGGAAAAGGGAGGAACTGGGAAGCGAT